AGGTGATTCAAATCCTGTTAATCTCACATAAAAAATGTTAATTGCATTGGCAAAGACATTGCCTCTGATCACTCCGCAGTTATATAGTTAGAGATCAGCCCATTCGGAGAGGCTCTGATCTAATTGATAAGCAGTCAGCAAACGACCCAGCCCATTCGGAGAGGCTCTGATCTAATTGATAAGCAGTCAGCAAACGACCCAGCCCATTCGGAGAGGCTCTGATCTAATTGATAAGCAGTCAGCAAACGACCCAGCCCATTCGGAGAGGCTCTGATCTAATTGATAAGCAGTCAGCAAACGACCCAGCCCATTCGGAGAGGCTCTGATCTAATTGATAAGCAGTCAGCAAACGACCCAGCCCATTCGGAGAGGCTCTGATCTAATTGATAAGCAGTCAGCAAACGACCCTTGAGATTTCTTCCCCGTTTTTCAACATGTGGTCAGACATAAGGTAGTAACACGAAGAAATCAGTGACCTTGTTTTGACATGTTTTAAAATTAAGTTTGCTTGTTATTCAATGGTTTAAGATTTTCATGCATATTTATTTTAATTGGACGGGGCTGTAATTGTCCAAACTCTATGGAGTATTAATAGGTATTGAGTGTGATCACTTATCAATGCATTGGATGGTTCTGGAGCATTAATAGGTATTGAGTGTGATCACTTATCAGTGCATTGGATGGTTCTGTTATCAACTTACTTTCTAATCCTTCGAGCTTTTCATTTTTTTGGAGATGATTTTGAGTCAAAAGGGGAGACTCAAGTCACTTCCTTGTAATTTTTAAAATTTCTGTCTGAAAGGGGCTTGGTTTTGTGTTTGGTTATTGTAACAATTGCCACTGCAAATGCAAATCATTTGAAATACACTTTTGGCCTGTACAGCTTCTTCAGTCTTCATATTTATGTTTCTGATTCTCGGATTTTCTGGAAATAAAGTTGGTTAAGAAAAGTGGAAAATAGTTCTTACAAAAAATTTCTTCCACTTAAATAAATGTTAGGCAAACCTACAGTTCTTAACATAATGTTTTCTGTGGGTAATTACGAAAATTGCAAAGCAGAAGGTGAGTTTAGTATAATTAAGAGAAAACAATTGGAATAATGAATAATACAATTTAGAGATAATTGTTAGAAAGGGTGCTATGGACATTCTCAGAATAATACTTTAAAATATGTGACCAAGCTGCAGGATGTCAGGAATTTCCCATGTCGCATTGTTGGGCAGCACATCCTAATACCCAGGTATAAAACCCATGTGGCTGCGTCATGCACCTGCAGGTGACTTTCATCTCCTCTTCTTTCCTTTGTTTTCTTTCGTTTTTCTATCCATCGAATGACATTTTTTCACCATGAGCCAGTGTCAGACTTCCAAAAATTGTGTACCGCATATGCTCCTGTGGTTATCCAGTTGCTAAGCAACTGGACTCTGCTTGAGGGTAGCAGGGAAGAGAGAAGGTTCATTGTGAAGTTCTGCACCCCTGCTGAGTTCATTTGAACAGCAGCAGGGATCCTGTATCTTGATTCTTCTTGAAATTATAAATCAAGTGCTTCCACGTGTCTCTATATAAAACAATGAGGCTTAGAACAAGTACAATGACCAAAAAACCCTTAAGGATCCTGATGGTCTCCCCTTGAGGAAAGGACAGCTTAGTTTGTGACATTTCTGATGTAACTTTGGCCATTTGGATTAATTATATGTTGTGATTTTGTGACTGTTAGCAACTTAAGGAAAGCATACACAAAGTTTTTCTGAAAATATAAGTAAGTATTTTAATGGAACTGGTCTCACATAGTGTTTTTCAATTTATTTTATACCCAGCATAATGTCATGAAAACTTTTCATATTAGATAGGTAGTTTTAATATTGCAATGACTTAACAGTTTTTCAGTGTATAAGTTTGCCGAAATTTATCCTGAAATCTCACGTTTTCCAATATTGTCAGTTTTGCTGCAATGATCCTATGGACTTCTTATTTTTGTTGCAATTATCAGTTATCGAAGTCACTGTTCTGCATTGTTATATTTTGCAGAGTGTCTGCAAGTAATGGTTGTTTTGGTTCTTCTTCAGTGCTCACACTTCCTTTTTCTTACTGATTTTTCATGTTGGCATGCCCATCTTCTTCTGGACTTCAATGGGCATAACTTTTGTATCTTACTTTTAAGAGAATTTTCACATTTAATTTATGACAAAATATCTTCATCACGTTTAAAAAGTCTTTTTGATTCCTTCATTATTTAGATGTTTTTTAATCCAATAGCTATATCTACAGATTTGATCATATGTATTGTTATTTCCCTTCCTATTATATAAGTAACCTCCTTTATCTCATTGAAAATTTGACTTCAAGTAATAGAAATCTGCCTAACAATGGCTTAGGCATAAGAGGTTCATTTTTCTCATCCTCACCATTTCTATGATGAAAAGAGCTTAAACACACAAACTCACACACACATGCACACACACACACACACACACTCCATGTTTTACCTGCCATTCTGTTTCAGTTTGCTAAATGAAAAGTTGAGACACTTTCTAGAGTTTCCTTTTCACTCTATGCGTCTGACTGATCCCCCAGTTTTGATCTCTCTTTTCTGTCCCCTTTTCCACATCCTATGAACCATGGTGTCAGTTTAAGCTGAAATAATTTCTTACAACAACCCTTTGACTTAATTCATGACTTTGTTTCTCTTCTACTTTATCTTTCACAGACGTGCCAACAAGCCCTTTTTCATATGCTAATTCAAAATGTTGCTTACTTGCTTAAAGTCCTTCAGTAGCTCTCTATCAACCTGAGGGCAGAGCTCACAGTCCTTGAGTGGTGAACAAGGCCTTCATGGTCTTATCACTCACTCTCTGGCTAGCTTTGTCTCTCACCACTTTCCCCAATGAAACTAAGCTGCTCACTATTCACCAGCTTGACCACTTAGTCAAAGCCTCTAGGAGTGGTTGTATTAGCATGTGCTGAATGAGTGAGTGGATGAGAGAAAGCCTTCTCTAGCTTGTTCATTCCAGTGTCACGATGTAGTATGATACGCCCGCTAAAATCAGAGGGAACAGGAAGGGTCTCCTCTTGATGAATCATTTTTCAATCTTGAGTAATATCAATAGTGTCTCAAATCTCTTTAACATTGGGTTGATGTAGTTTTTGGATGAACTGGATAAATAGCTGCACCTGATAGCACAGAAAAAGTCAATCCCCCTTCCTATGCTAATTATTTATTTTTTACTGTTAACATTTGGGACCCTCATAAGGATATATTAATCCTATTGCCTATTTAACTACCAGAAATGATAGCTCAATACCAACTATTCCAGCCCCGAAATAGCTGTTTTGGGTACATAGGGTCCAGAGTTGGAAAAAAATCACACTAAATTATTTTATCTGACATGCAGGTTTGTTCTGTTGTCTGTGGGGCACAATTTGCTGCTAATTTATTCAGAGTGTCTAAAATCTTTAGATGCAACCATGTTTTTCTTTCGTTTTTATGGATTGCTTGTCAATTCTGCATTTACAAAATTTTTCATGATAAAATTCTATTTGCCTTGTTTTATGGCTTGGGATTTTTGAGTCTCAGACTACAGATACTCAAGCATACGCAGAAAATTCTGATCCCTACTGTCAAATTCTCTGCAGAGATACAACTGTCTTCCTTCTAAATGCCAATGATAGTTGGTTTTATTGCAATAAAATATTTATCTTGCAACTCACACATCTGTTTTATAAATATGGATCTTGATTTAGTCAATAAAATCAAATACTCTTATTTTATACTCTTAAAATCTATTATTTGAAGTAATTTATTTTCTTTGAAGGTTTCCTGCCAAATACATTTTAGTTTTTGTGGCACTGTGTACAAAATGTTAAATTAGAAGGTTTGAAACTCAAGTCCTAGGTGGCTAAATATGTCCAGATGGCCAGATGAATCGTGTCAACTTCCTATGAATCTCATCTTTCTTTTCCTTGGCTTAGTTCTCTTTCTACCTCAGTAAGTAGCAATATTGAATTTGTTTGTGATTTTTAGATATGGGCTAATAAAATTTAAATGAAAATTTTTCCAGTCTCAGACCATTATCCAAAAGGAAAGAAACTGGACAAGGAATGCCAGTGTTTAGCAATACATAAAACTGCTTTTTGTTTTATATCCTCAGAAGCTAAGAATCTTATGGACAGGAAAAGATTTTTATGGATAAGGACTTATTTTTCTCTAGCTTTATGTCGAAGAGTGCTAGAATACAATTTAACAGTGCCAAATACAGATTAATAAAAGAAGAGAGGATGAAAACAGTAAAACAGACTACCGAAGAAATAAAAAACATAAAATTAAGTAAAATAAAAATGGATAAATATCTCAAACACTTAAGAGAATACCATTGGAGAAAACCTCAAAAAATTGATAAATAAATAGTTTGCAACATTTAATAATGGCAGTCTCTGTATTTAAGAAAAAAAAATCAGGTAGACAGCTTTCCATATATGAAGTTAAAATAGTATGGGAATATTAAGTCCTTATCAAATCATAGCCTAAGTGGGAAAATTTAGGTTATATATATATGCAAAAGTACACATTTTTAAATTTTCTCTAGCGTTCTTGAGGAATATTAATATTTGGTTTTTAAAATATTTTTATTCCTTTCAACTTTTAGTTTTCCCACATTGAGCCCTGATAATAGATTACTGTGATCATTTTTAATCTCTTTTTCCTGTAGAATTCAGTGTTCTGATTTTTTATGATAGGATCCACCTGATTTAGCTCAGGGATTCAGTGAAAAATCAATTTAATATTTTTTCAAAAGGTTGTATCATCTTAAGTGCAAACTGTAGCTATTCCTTTGTTCCAAAATACTGTATTTTATTGAATGCTGTTGGACTCACAAGGCCACAGAGTTAGGTACCTGTGTACCAAAAGTAAATTAGGTTTCCTTTGCTTATCTCATAATGTAATTAAAGCACATATAATAGTTTATCTCATTTTACCATTCTTTCTTTTTTTTTTTTCCAAGAACGACCCACATTTCTCAGGAGGCCAATTAACCAGGTGGTACTGGAGGAAGAAGCTGTAGAATTTCGTTGTCAAGTCCAAGGAGATCCTCAACCAACTGTGAGGTGGAAGAAGGATGATGCAGACTTGCCAAGAGGAAGGTAAGACCATCCTATGGATGGACTATTGCTAGATAACCAATGAATAATTAAGAAAGAAAAGGACAGCTACAGTGCCACCACCATATACTCCTACGTCTTGGGGTATTTTCACTCATGTGATTTTTACATATGCAAGCCACATATTTACTGTTTGTGTATTAAAGTCCTCCAGGCTTTCAATGTCACTCTTTCAGTGAATATCTACATCAATGCTTGATTCTTCATTTCACCTCTTATCCCTGGATACCAGGGATTCCTGGGTGCCTTCTTTCCCCGGACCCTTTGAGGAATACTATTCCGTTCCTGCAGAATGCCCCCTGCATGCCTCCATCAATGACTGCCCTGTTCCCACGTTTCACCCACTCTGGATACCATTTGTCACCTCTACGGCCCAAAGCATAACTAACAAAAGACTACTGCATGTGGCTGACTGTAAGTCCTGGAGTAAAGGAAAGGTCAGCACAACACTGAACTGGTAGCAAGTAGTTGGCATTATTTTTCACACAGGGGATTCCTAACACAGGGACCTCCTGTCACTTTCTTTCTTGCCATCTCTTCATGGAGACCTTCTCTTCCATCTCTTATTGTTCTTATCACAAAGCCCTCAAACCCAAGCTCTCAAGCTCTCATCTTATTCAAAAATGCTTTTCATCTTATATGAAAATAGTTTTAACTTGTTGTTATATAAATTTCCCTAAGACCTTGCCATTTAGAATCAAATCAGTAATTCAAGTGGTTTGTTGTTGTTGTTGTTGTTGTTGTTTTAACACAAGTAATTTTATCTTTAAGATTTGTTATGGCTTCCTGCTAGTTCTGCCTACTGACATTATAACCATCATACATTCTCCAATTATTGCCTGCATAAAATTGTACAGGCCGTGTTTTACTGGTTCTTGTTTTTTACAACAAATTTTTGGCCAGGCACAGTGGCTCATTCCTGTAATCCCAGCACTTTGGGAGGTCAAGGCAGGTTGATCACCTCAGGTCAGTAGGTCAAGATCAGCCTGACCAACATGGTGAAACCTTGTCTCTATTAATAATACAAAAAATTAGCCAGGTGTGGTGGCGCACACCTGTAATCCCAGTTACTCGGGAGGCTGAGTCTGGAGGATCACTTGAACCCAGGAGGTGGTGGTTGCAGTGAGCCAAGATCCTGCCACTGCACTCCAGCCTGGGTGACAGAGTGAGACTCTGTCTCATAAAGAAAAAAAAAAAAAAAAAGAAAAACTTTGTTTCATTCAACTGACTGGCATTTACCAGGCTTCTACAGAAGCTATATACCTTTTATGTGCTTTCACTGCTGTCAGTACTTTCCTAAATGTAAACATTCATTTCAAAATTTCAATTTTATAAATCCCAAGATATGATAGGATACTTTATTTCAAAAGACACGTCACTCATGGATTGAATGCACCAACCATTTATAACAGTTACTGAGAGGTTCTTTGCAATCTGTGGGAATAAAACAAGTGAAAACATTAATTCAGTTAGTTTTTCGGCCTATGTAGTAGGGAAAGTCATTACTGTGTTTCTTTTATCATTTTAATGCCAGACATCTATCTTTAAAGGAATGGTATTATTAGAAGATGTTTGTAAATGTGAGGCTTCTCATGCCATCTCATTGGAGAAGCAGGTTACTATTGAACTGTTACTGTCCATCCTCTACACATAGTCAACAACTTGCTTCAAATTTGAGAGCACATAATGAATAATTTTAAAATGTTAATGTAAGGTGAAGAGATTAATTCTATAGTAAAATTTATCCTAGTGTAAACAAAGGTTTATTTTTTAAAACTGGGAGTATATGGCCTTGTCCATTGTAACTTCAAAAACCTTCAGTTTTGGCATAATTTTGATTTATAGGAAAGTAACAAAGTAACAGAGAGTTTCCATATACACTACACCCAGTTTTCCTTATTGTTAATATCTTACACGACTATAAAACATTTGTCACAACTAATGAGCAAACCTTGATACGTAATAATTAAGTAAAGTGTATACATTACTTGGATCTCCCAGGTTTTCATCATTGTCCTCTTTCTACTCCAAGTCCTGTTCAGGTAATTATTGAGTTGGCTGTCACAGACTTCTGCATTTGTTCTCATATCTCTCCAGTCCCTTCTGGCTTGTTACAGGTTCTTAGTGTTTCCTAGTTTTGTGAGCTTAACAACCTTGCAGGGAAGTACTGGCCAGGTACGCTATCGAATGTCCCCCAAACTTGGATTAGTCAGGTGTTTTCTCCTATTAGAATGGGTTCATAGGTTTTTTTTTTTAAAAAAATGCCATAGAAATGACATGCTCTTCTTATCACATTGTATCGGGGGTACATTATATCCGTATAACAGCACTGGTGACCCTGTTAATTTTCAAACATTGAGCAAGAGCTCGTTGAAAAAAGTATTAAAAATAGAGAATTGTAAGTGTGCATTGCATTTTAACATGTCTATGTTTCTGAATTAAGGTAAAATAAAAATGAATTGAGCCTAGTTTGATTATTTTCAGTTTAATGTAGGTGTTGGTCATAAACCTGACAACTTAAGCTGCTACACTGTTCTCTAAATCTTGCCAAATTCATTTGCTTCAAAGTACAAATGATACATATAAATCAAACAACAGCATTCAGGTTACATTTTCAGAAGGTATGATATCAAGGCCACTAAACAACAAGGTTGAAAGCATGAGAAATCTTAGTTTCATTAACTTCCTTTAAAACATTTTCATAGCTTTGGCCTCTTTATTCTTTTTACTGGCATATTACTGTAGTACTTTGTGTAACCAGTTAAATATTTTTAAAATCTTAGGCAAATGGAAGTGCTGTGTAAGCTTTAAATTGTTTTGTTAGAGAGGCTTAAAGCAAGGATAAGTGTAATATAGAAACTGAGGTCAATATTTTCATCATGAAAGAAGCATGTACTTTTTCTTGAATTCCCAGTCTTTAAGTGATATTTCAGAGGAGTTTATTCGTTCCTCGATTTGTATGTATTAGCATAAGCCTCACTTATGCATAATGAGAGGGAAAGACACTTCTTTCCTTGGTGAGGAATAACAGTAATAACTTTTAGCCAACCATAGACTAAATCAACAACATTGATTCTATTACATTATTTAGGTCTCAGACTAGGGAGATGGCCATTGTTCTTGTATAAGCAATTGGTGTGGTGGATGACATTTCTTTGGCTTAACACTTAATGAAATTTGAATAAGGTTTGTGTAGTGGTTCATGCTTAACACATTTATAGGAAGGCTTTGTAGGACAGCTGCGTAGCCTGTAATTACTATGTAAGTAATATGTGACTATTTTTCTTTTGGAGACAAGAAAAGCTTTTCAATTCAAGTTTAAATTTATGAAATGCTGTAAGAGCTATTAAAATCTTCAACACAGAAGAAGATATCTGTGCCAACCTTTCAGTAACCAGAGATGAATTAAGGGAGTATTTTTTCCCCTTGCCTTGAAAATATTTTTTAAGTAGTACTGATATGCCTCTTTCTTTTATTTAGTCTTAAACTCCTGACCTTTCTCAGTAACTACCTTTAATGAAATTACAACAGACTCAGTGAGTTGTATTAAAACATTTTCTGAAAAGATGAATGTTTCAGTGAGGTAGGAAGCATAGCAAGTCTAACAATAACCCTTATGCTCAACTAGGGAAAGTTATTTATGTGGACATTTTCCATGTGACCAAGGGACAAAACAGGAAGGAGTCTACATTATACACATTAGTGCCAAACTGTTAATTCCTTGCAGAGACTTCTGAAGATATTACCATTTCACAATTGAATATTTCAGGAAGCATACTGATTCTGTACCAAGTACCAATACTGTTTTCTAGAAGGTTTCAATACATATATATTAGGGACAAAAATTTCATACACTAATGTGAAAATAAAGTGAGTAGGGGGAACAAGCAAGTGAAAGGCATTTTATAGTTTATAAAAATTATGATTTTTAAAGCACATTTTAAAAGCATAATTTAAATAGTAGAAAATGCACTTTTGGGTTTACCTACATTTAGTGAGTGCCTACTACATTTATAATGCTCATTGCAAGTTTGAAAAAGTAAGAAACAAGGTAACTTAACTGTTATTAGTTCTTTAGTTTTTGTTTTATATTAGTGAGATTGGACAACGTGGGAAAGTATTTACATTCTGAATACAGTAAAGAAAGTAAACTGGAGCAGCTCTAGTTATATTCTTGGGTACTGTCTGTCTTTTGAGGGCAAATATCCAACATTTTGCTTATTAGTACTCTCTTGATTAAGTGCCTTCAATACACCTTTTCACAAAGTGTTTTAGGTGATAGAAGTTGCCAGTATTTTAAATAAATGAGGTGAGGTTCCACCTCATGCCATGTTCCATCATAACATAAGTTTATTGTGTATTTTTGTTATATAAATATATTTATGTGCTGAAAGTCTGTAAAAAATTATAAAATGAAGAAACATTACCATAACACAAGTAACATGACATAAAGAAACAATATAATAAAATTGTAACCAAAGATACAAAAATAAATTGAAATATGACAACACTGCAGTGTTCTATTCAATTTAATATTGAGATTTTTTTTTAAATTCCTCTTGGAACTTGGATAAGAGTTAGTGTGATTAATCTGATTGTGAATTCTTATCTATGCATGTCAGCAGACTTTGTATTTCATTTCATTATTAGCAGCCTTTAAAGAATTGTAAACAGGAGATTTAATATCTCTCATCAATCATGTAATTTTCAGCATATTACCATTAGCTCCATTTTCTTTTTTTATTTCTTTTTTATTTTCTAAACTAACTCTAAAGTGACACTAAGTTCCTCAATAACAACTTCTGTCTTCCACAATAGAGAAAGGAATGTTCAAAATCGCTTGTCAGAAGAAAAAGGAAATAAAATATGCCATTTACATTCTTATGTATGCCTGCAAATTCTAAATTTAGTTGATGGCTTGCACATAGTGGATATAATTAATGAATATTTCATAAAACAGGAAAGGGAGTAGAGAATAAGAG